AAGCCTAAATACAGCTGCGGAAAAGCTAACATTAGGCTATAAACAAACTACACCACAGGCGCATGCCTACCACAACAAGGCTATCAAGCTGTGTTCGGTGTGATGACGGTCTGTAGTCTTACTTTGCAGCTTGTCAGCAACTGCCTTTTTTAAGACATATTAAAGACGTATTTTATGTTGTAGAACAAAACTTGTAAGTCTCTTGAGCTTGAATTAACCACAGACCTTATTTCAGGCATGTAAATCCATTCAAAAAAAATCCATTGACTTTGAGACCAGGAAACTGAGTGCAAAAATTCTAATTCATTTCCAGATTTTAGGACTCATTCCTAGGGCACTCTATTTATACATAAACTCTGTAAAACTGAAGCCGTTTCTTACCGGGGGAAATGAATAGTACACAACTGATTTAAAAAATGTTTTGCCATTTCAAGGGCACGTCTTTCTGTGGAGTTATTGATATAATGAGTCCTGTATAAGAGAGGAGTAATGCAGATGCACAGTGAAGTGTAATATAATTGTAATGTTGATATCTGCATCGTCTGGTATTAAGAGAAAATCTTTGGGTTTTGTGTTGATTAAAGCAAAATGCCTTCTTACTGAAATAACGTCTTATCTTTCCATTTATTAGTATCCCTTATAATGATTAATTATGTCATTAATTGTATGTTTTCAGACTGGGCCCTTCAAGATAGTATCTCCTCCCCTCACCACCTACAACCAGCAGCTATGGCTCACCTGTCTGATCCAGGCTGAACACAGCAACAGTAAGACCACAGAATGAGCTACAGATGACAACCGTATTAAAGACAGTGGAATAATGAGGGCGTCTCTGTGACGCACCTCACATAGCTTTTTGTTTTATTGTTTTGCAAACATGCCTACCTGTGGCTAATGACATGTTTTCACTGCTGTCTGTGTCAGTGGGTGATTTCCAGCAGCCCTTCGAGATCAGTGTGGAGCTAAAGGGAGTGATGCAGGACGCCAGTGTGATGCACATCAACAAAGTGCAGCAGAAACCAAGAACTCTACACTGCGGGGCTGTAAGTGTCGATCAGCAAACCCAGTCACTTTCTTCTCTCAATATGTAGGATTAAATCATCTAGTCAGGCAGCAGCAACCAGAACAGCAGTGTGAGTTTATGAAATGTTATTTATGATATGAAATGAGGCTGTATAGCAGTGAGTGCAGTGAAACTGATTATCATGTCAGACCGACAGTAACAGAGCAGTTCAATTATGCATTGGATTGTTGACTGAACCGACAGTGACACACCGTTTTCTGTCTCTGCTTACAGAAATGTGATGAGATAATCGTGCTCCATCTTGGTCATCTGAACTACACCCAGTACCAGGTCATGGTTAGCTTCAAAGGCCTTGAAAATATCACATATGAAATCAAGGTCAAGTTTGTGGTGAGTGACAAACACTGGCAGGGTTTTTAATAATGAAATAGCTTGAGCTCACAGGTCAGTCACGGCCTTTTCACTCTTATCGTTTCTCTCCCTTTTTTCTTCTCTTTTTAAAAATCCCTCCTCAGTGGAAAACATACAACCCCACCTTCTCGCAAGTGGAGATCTGGTTCAGATTTGTCTTTGTGGTGTTGACCTTCATGGTGACGGTAAGATGACTATTCAGGTCTTAACCCCAATGAACTTTACATAACCAGTATTCTGATCCGACCAAATGCAGGACTAACGTTTGTTTGTTCTACATGTCCCAGTGTATGTTTGCACACTCTCTGAGGAAGTTTTCTATGAGGGATTGGGGCATAGAACAAAAGTGGATGTCCATCCTGCTCCCTTTGCTGCTTCTCTACAATGGTGAGTCCAGTATTTTCTCTCCACAAGTCATATTTTACCCCTAAAATACAACCTATGAAATCAGGTATAGATAGTTGGTATTTATAGGAACGCCCACAAACTTTCACATCAATTTACTGCAAGTGGGAAAACAAAGCATTTGCTACCATGCTGAAGAGTTGCTGTGTGGCTTTCTGTATGTCAGATGACTGTGAAATTCTGAGTTAAAGGCTATTTTCCAACCTGGACCCTATTTTTCTGTGTTTTTGTGTCTGAGTAACTAATGGGAACAATATTTTTTGATACGAGACACTCAGGGCATCTTTACACCGTCCATTTAGGTCCACTAAAAGTGCTTGTTTTTGGCACTGACATGCTCAGACTGTTATTATAAGTGTGTGACAAGATAATTTAATGGATCCCATGTCAACTGTAATGTCAACTGCAAATGTTACATGTGTCTTGTCCATGTTAAAAGATGTGTAGGTTCAAGGTGAGGTGTTTTGCTCATTTTGTTGCTTTTGCTCTTCAGATCCATTTTTCCCACTGTCATTCCTGGTGAACAGCTGGTTTCCAGGGATGTTAGACGCTTTCTTCCAGGCTCTGTTCCTGTGTGCCCTGCTGCTCTTCTGGCTCTGTGTTTATCATGGCATCAGGGTTCAGGTGTGTCCAGTGCTACACCTATACTTTAATGTTTTCCTCAATTTTAGCATATCAATATGAATCTTATTTAATGTGTTTTGTGTCGTTTCCTCAGGGTGAGAGGAAATGTCTTACGTTCTACCTGCCTAAGCTGATCATTGTGGGTCTTCTGTGGCTCTCAGCGGTTACACTGGGCATATGGCAAACGTAAGTCTGACCCCACTGGCTGCTAGCAGCCTGAATCAAACAGTGAATTACAACAGGACCGAAAAGATCAACTCTTCTTTTCTGAATTTGCAGGGTTAATGAACTCCAAGACCCTACTTATTTGTATAAAGTGGACATAGAAAACTTTCAGGTGAGACTTTTTACCTTTTAATGATACAGATTGGGGCAAAGGTGGTTGAATAGTGTTGTTATATTAAGTACACTCAGTGTTTGTGTCTTCATTTGCCCAGGAGTTTAATAAAGTCTCATGTTATTTCTCCAGGGCATGAAAATCTTCTTCCTGATTGTAGTTGCCCTCTACATCCTCTACCTGATCTTCCTGGTCGTCAGAGCTTGTTCTGAACTCAAGAACATGCCTTACTCAGGTATCACAACATACCACACCTCTTTATTTGATTCAGTTCAGTTTCTTTTACCATGGTAACATTAATGTGATGTGTGTTTTCAACCTCTAGATCTCCGGCTCAGGTTTTTGACAGCGCTGACATTCGTGGTTCTTGTAATAAGGTGTGTTTTTAAGAAAAGAACTGCTCTGTTTTTTTTTTTTTGACAGAGCCCTTTGTGGTTAATATGATCCTGTCGTTCTTGTTGCTTTTTCTCCACCAGCATGGTCATTCTCTACCTGAGGTTTGGTGCCAAGGCTCTTCAAGACAACTTTGTTGCTGAACTGTCTACTCATTATCAAAACTATATCCTTTCTAATGGTGTTTCATTTCAAGCATGATTTCACTGAAAGGGGGCCTCTTATGCTTTACCGTATTTTGTGTCTTAAACACAGTGTTACATTGAAGGATGTTCATATTAAATATGGCCAAAGTTTATCCAATGAGGTAGCATTCAGACTGCTCCAAACACAGCTTTTATACTGTGGTTACAGTATGACATCATAGGATTTCTTTTTGTATGGTCATCTGCTCCAAGCACATCACTGAAAGTGTTTACATAATGTAGCCTACATTGTTAGATGTAGCTACATGCTAACATCAGAGAAGCATGTAATCTTGGTTGGTCCATGTTTTCAGTCAGAAATTTCAACTGGAAAGCCCACTGAAGTCAGATTTCTGACTCCAAACCTGACCTCGAAATCCAATATGGCTACTCCGCACAGCAACAGTAGTGAAAGCTGCAGTAACATCCTGCTTATTAGCACTTGTTGGCTTATTTGTGTCTCATAAGAACGGTCGTACACACAGCACAGTCTTAATTTCTGGCTGTAAGCATGTTGCTGTGGTGTTTGTATATGTAAAATAACTGGTATTGCTAACAGTGGTTAACCTGGCTAGAACTGGTTTTGTGTTACTTGTGGTATTAGAACGCGGGCAACTCAGGTGTGACATCATTGCCCAGTGCGGTTTTCGACTCCTGTGTAAATGAGGAGATTTGGATGACCAGGAAATGCTGACCAGTCAGAGCTGACCTAAAAATGAGCATAACATGTCCCCTTGAAGTATACCATGTGAGGTAGCATGTTGATGTCTTAAATAGTGAGAAATTATTCCTTAACATCAGACATACCAGCTGAATTCTTATCATTCTACGGTCTGCTCAACTTTTATCTGTACACATTGGCATTTGTGTATTCCCCTTCCAAAAATGCACTGTATGGTAGGTAATACAGAACAGTCTCAATATAGGAGGTAATGAAGAAAACAGATTAATGTAACTGGATTTGTATCATTCCCCAGACTCCCAGTTGAAGGATAATCCTGCTTTCTCCATGCTGAACGACTCAGATGATGAAGTAATATACGGGTAAGCATTTGTTTACTTAATTAATTTTATGTATTTTCATACCTTACAGTTTGCGGTGTAGTATTCAGCAAAAACCATTTGATGTTTTCTTTGTCTTTGTACAGGAGTGATTATGAAGACATGCCTTTACAAAACGGACGTGCTATCAAAGCAACCACCAAGTACCAGGATGAGAGTGACAGCGACTGATGGGATTTCTGACCAGCTTGTACCTCTTGTGCGTCCCTGCTGGAAGCTATGAGAGTACAATACAACAAACTATCATGTGTATGTGTAAATAACTTGCAATGGTATTACAAAAATGACATACTGTAAGTGTACATAACTATATTTTTAAGAAAAGTTCCATGTCTACTGAATGTACTGTACTTTTACTGAAATTTGGGGCATGTAGCCACTCAGACTTTTTCCTTCATTGTTTATTCTTTCAGTCTCATTGAAAACAAAGGAAACAAACACATGTGTAAAACAGTACAATTTTTACCAGTTTGTAAACTTTTTTCCTCGTGACCAGCATTTCTTAACAACCTATTAGTTAGAGATGATTGGGAGGAATGCTAATGTCCATTTGGGATTGTTTTTTTTTTTTTTTTTTGTTGAATCAATGTTATTTTTAATGCTTTGCGTTGAACCACTGTTGTGTCTCTTTACCTGCGTTGTGTTGTTTTTCCCATTCCTTTCTGCTCTCTGATAGTCTGACAATAATGAGAATGTGTATCTGGCCAAAGCTGATTAACATTATACTGGTAGTAGGAAGTAAAGGAAGCTACATGCTGCAGCCTTAAGTGCACTCTGGTGGTTCACACTATGGCTTGCAAGCACTGACATGAGTGATAAATAGGGAATTAAAGTGCCATAGCAGTGTTGGCTGTCGACAAATTCTCTTTGGCCTCAGACGTGTTTTAAAAAAACTCCAGAGAGAGCCTTAGCTGGAGTAGGTGCCACTTATCTCTGACCACTCCTCTTGACAGTTCTTCCCTTTGAGAGCAGCTTTGTAATTGCACTTGTTTAAGAGTTTAATTTATTTCACTGGTAAGTGACGATGTTTGATAGTGTATTATCTGACGACGTGAATGGATTTTAATGAATTGCATGGATTTTACACAACTTAATGTAAATGGACTACTGATTTGTCACATTCTTTCTCCCTGCACATACAGTAATTATACCATTGGCCAAATATATTTTGCCTTATGTAGAGCATATTATTTTAAGTAGTTGTTTTTTTCCTCACGTAACTTTCCATACCTTGCCTACAATGTAAGACTTGCTGCCTTTTCCTTTGTTTTATAAACCTGGAGTTATGGACAAAAACAGCCAAACAAATGTGTTTCCGTTCCTTACAAATAATATCCTAACGTATTCTAATCAAGATGGTGCCTTGTCTTTACATTTCTTATTACTGGGCTGCGGTCTCAAATTTGTAAATGCTTTGAGATTAATGTACATTTTTGATTCTTTCAGTGTGAATGTAGTTTACGGTGGTTAAATGAGGTTGTTGTGGGTCCCGATATGTTGGGAGTTCTTTGCAATTTGTGTTGCTTAATGAGATAAAAGCTGTACATGTAGCACTCTTGTCGTGTCTCATGTAAATAAAGCAAAGTATATCCAGCATAGTATTGTTTTATTCAATTGCACTTAGTATAAAAGCAGAAAAGTGTATTCAAATACAGTCAACGAGACTGAATACAACATGCAGGTTCTCAAAAACACACAAAATCCTATACATTTCAAACACCCTAGGTATGCTGTAGTTCGTTCAGATGGCCAGCCCAAAAACACTGTTAGTTTAAAGCACAAAACTCACCTCCTCTTCTGTCTGATACTCGTCCATTAATACTGCCTCCGATGTGAACCAAGAAGACTTCCGGTTATAATTCTTCCAATCTGGAAATCCATCGGTTAAAAAAAAAAGAAAAAAAAAAATTTTTTTCTTCCTTTACAATGTAAATTGCAGAATCTGTCTTGAGAGATTGTAATTCTTCAGAATAAAAAAGGACTAACCGAAAACCTATGTTCCAGAAAAAAAGGGTTATGTACGGTAATTGTATGTCACAGTTATTGCATTGCTGCAGCCACTTAAAACAAACTGACTTGGATTAAAATGTATTTGAATTGTCAGTAAACAGTCACTATCTTGATTTTTTTTTTAGCAAATGTATCACGGAAAACCTTTACACGTAAACACCGCCCCCTCTTGGTCACTTGTAGACAACATTGTTGTGTAACGTTTATCGTTAGGTGTTGTGCGGAAGTCTGTTTCTTCGCCAAAATATGTCCCTCCCCCACCGTCCACCTTGACCTGCCCAAACCTCGGCCCTAACCTGAACCACCCAATGGCGGAGGGAGCGGTACGCAGTGACAGACAGAGAACACTATTGGACGAGGGGGACATTTCAATTTGAACATCAGCTGTCGTCGACAGGTAATCACGTCTTTTCGCAGTCGAGGACAATTTCAGATAAGATAATACCTAAACCAAAGCTGTTTTTGGAAAGCTTCTTCTAATATTGTTCTTTTTAGTCTTTTGGCTTAACATGTTTTGTTGTGAAATGTTATGAAATAACGGTTTGCCGTTGGTTAGTCGCATCATTTTATGGACTGAAGGCGCTAACGGTTAGGCTAGGCCTGCTAATGCTGTAATTGCAAATGGCACCGTTAGTTGTAGGTACGAGATATATTTGTGGCAATGAAGACAGTTACTCTGAGACTAACATATGAATTTAAATTAGTTTAAACTTAAACTTAAGCATTAACATTAATGACAGTTAGTGTTGGTTAAAGTTGCTTGTTAACTGAATGTTACCCTTAAAGGAGGGTCGAGTTACGCAGTTTTATTTCAGTGACCGTGGACCTACGTTAATTCAGGTAACTCATCTCTAACTAACGTTGGTTGACTAAGTTATTATTCGATGAAAGCATGTAATTTTAGGCCCATTACCCTTTGCCTTACCTTATAGCTCTCAAATTAAGCTAAATATGGAGTGTCCAGTTTCAGAAATAACGTTACAGTACGCTACGTAATTGTTGCTGCGTGTGGGGTGTTGTTTAACGTTAGCGGCCATGTTGAAGTTCGCTGAAACAGTCAAAGTCAGTTGTAATTTGCGTAGTTTAGTATTACATGTCTACTGTCGCTATTATCACTAGTTGTAAACCAAAATACCATTGAAACAGCTGCTTCAAAAAGTAAACAACTTTCCGGTTTGTAAAGTGTTTTAAAGAAAAGACGTTACATGTTGCCAGTACAACTTTTATTCTGAAAACTGAAACACCAGAAGTTGAAACAGTTCTGCTACCAGTTTGATGCCTCGTTGTCTCGTTGGTGTCCAAATATCGATGGTGTACGCCTGTGATGTTTTGCTGGATCGTATACATTTGTTCAGATTCTAATAAGCTATACGTTGCCAATATTGAAAACATATAGTGCCGGCTTACAACAGATGTTGAAGATTTGCTCTAACTATGGTGCAGACTTTGACATCAAATATAATGCCAATAAGAGCAACATTATGATTGTTAACAGTAACGTTAAAGAAGACACAATTAGTATTTCCTGAATTCGTTTTATCTGGTGTTGCTCTTCAAGTGTGTCGTGAGATTACATATCTTGGTCAGTTGTATGCCCAAGCTAATATGCTTGCTCGCAAATATATCATGTGTTCAGTTAATGTGAAGGTCTCTCTTTTATAGAGCATTTTGCACTCAACTGTATAATGCCTACTTGTGGGCGCTAGAGCAAGACTTAATGTGGCCTATAACGATGGCATGAGACTTCTTCTTAAACTTCCACGATGGTGCAGTGTCAGCCAAATGTTTGTAAATGTTAGTGTACCTGCTTGTCCTGCCTTAATGCGAAATCTTATTTATCAATATATGTGCAGGCACTCTGTCTCAGAAAATAGTATCCAGGCCTTGGCCACCGACCAGAAATAGCATGAACCCACACTAACTCCCGTAACGTTTTGTAATAAAAGTCTGCGATCGGATGCATATTTCCGTTGCCCATCAGTCATAACACCTCAAACTGCGCGTTTACAATTTGTTGATGTGTTTTTGTAGCCATAGAAATCATATTGAACCGCGAATTAGTGTCACAATGAGGAGAAGGAGTCTCCCACTTGACTCGTTAATCAGCATCGCTTCTCGGCCTTTTGGCTAAGATCAAGTGTAGTATCTGTTCTTATCAGTTTAATATCTGATACGTCCCCTACCCGGGGACCATATATTAAATTGATTTTTGGAACAGGGAGATGAAATAGGGGCTTGCTCCGTCCACTCCACGCATCGAACTGGTATTGCAGTACTTCCAGGAACGGTGCACCCCCCCTATATGTGTTGAAAATAATTAAAGTTAGTGTGTCTATCTTCGTCTTTTCGTCTTGTGAATATGAACTATAGCCTACATTAACTAAAATTTTCAGGTGCAAGGTCATTTGAAATATCAACTATGACATAATTTGCACACCTACTTTCTACGGTGTCTTTAATTCTTGGTTTAAGTGGATCTCATTGTAAAATGAAGTGAACCAGTAAATGTTGAGTGACACAGAGTGACTACAAAAGGAGATGTGTTGTGGTCATAGTTCATTTTCACATGAAAAGCATAAAGACATTTTTTCTTTCTCAGTAGATGCTCAACCGGACCTCGTCTTATTGTGTTGTGTAACCTAATTACACGTTAGGTTTGAAATGAGCTGTCATTTCAGTCGGTTTATTATTCTTCCCATAAAGTGAAAATCCTCTCTGCATAATTTCTGTTGCTGTTTTTTCCCAGTCTGTTTTTTTGCAGACATATCAGAAGTAAGGCAAATACTCCACATGTGTTTGAGCGTTTTGTTTTCTTCTTTCCGTTAGTTACGCACAGAGAAGCACATTTGTAGATAAATGTTTAATCAACAGTGTTGTTCACACTGCAGACCAACAGATGGCAGCAGCAGAACGTCAGTTGTCCACCAGCAGAAGGCGAAACAAGTAAATCAGGAAGTGTCTGTAATGTGAGGAGACAAACGTGTTTTTCACTCTTTCCACTGATTTTAAAATGCAGATCAAACAATAGTTGATTGCATATTAATGTAGCTTTGTCTGGTGTGAACTCGCTTAGGTTTTGGATATAAAATAAACGGATAATCTGGTTATGTTAGGGCAGCTTTTGATATGGATATACAGCATTGCATGATGGGATATGTGCCGATTTTTCGCAAGTAAAATACTAGTTATTTTTGTCAGCCTTAGTACAAAAAAGTTTCTTGTATATGAACGTCGTGTAGATGATCAGAGCCTTTATAGTGTGTGGTTTTGGTCATGTCTATATATTGCCAGCACCATGAGTTATCGTCGTATGACTGTGAATGAGTGCCCTGTGTGAAAGCTGTACAAGTCATACTTACCTGGCAGGGGAGATACCATGATCAAGAAGGTGGTTCACCCAGGGCGAGGCTCAGTCATTGCACTCCGATTGAGCTGACCTCTGCGAATTCCCCAAATGTGGGAATCTCGACTGCATAATTTCTGGTAGTGGGGGACTGCGTTCGCGCTCTCCCCTGATAACACTGTGGAAAGATAATGAAAAACATGGCTGATACAGAGAAAAATAATATGTGCTTAATACGATAGTATACTACGTTCAAGGTTTCAATAGTAACTTCTGTGATGTTATTAAACTGAGCATTATAACACGAGAGTGTGTGTAGTTGTATTTCAGGCTATAGTCTCATGCTTATAACTGCATCCCATCCGTGCTGATATTCAGTACAACAGCTCGACCTGTTTCTTTCATACATTTCTACCTGCGCCATTTATCAACAGTAAAAAGTGGCAACATGTTATAATTTGTTTGTTTTTTTAAGGATTTCTGTGGCTCCGCGAGCATACATATCGACACACTCGCTAGCTCCTTTTATTGTTAACTCGGCATACACTTTACCACAGGCCAGCTGCTGTGTATCATGTAGGTAACATTTGTGTTTTTCCATTTATTTTGAACCAGTTAAATAAGCCTGTTGACCGTCGCTTCGGATGAATACGTTTGACGCTGATGAGTTAACAGCTTCATCTACACGTTGCGTCGTCTTCTGATGTTAAATGAGCAAACCTGGATATTTGCAGTGAAGTGTTCAGGCTTCTTTCCATCCCCTCGTCATTTTCTGACCATTTAAAGTTTAACTCAAATGCTATTTGTGGTTAAATGTTCAATTTTGCGGTGCAAAGTTTGTTACGACGACCCTTCATGTCGGCTAATAAACGGTTAAATAATTAACGGCTCAGAACACCTGTAAGGCGGAGTAATACATGCGTAGTTAAAAGTCCCAGCGCTGTTATAATTTATATCAGCCGTAGACTGTATAAGTAAGATATCAGCACACATAAGATGACTCTTGTCTAGTAAAATTGCTTGAATGGAGTGTTGTGTAAATATTAATAAAAGTTGATTTCATACCATGTCGTGTCATAAATGGTAATAATCATGTAAAGATTGCTATGGTAACTTAGTAGAAACCTGAAATGTATATGTAGTGATGTGTAAGTAATGTTTTTGTGTAGCTTTGATGGTCTCAGTGTATTGTAGCCTGGAAGTGATGTTTCACTGGTCAGTGAGAGTAACTGTGGTGAATCACTTCTTTACTGCTGAGCCATTCACAATGTCACTACCTGGCAGTTTGGCTAAAGTCAAGTGTAATATCTGTTATCATCACTTTAATATATTAAACTGTTTTTTGGGTTGTTGGGTTTTTGTTGTTTATTTTTTTCAGAAAAGGGAGATGGAATAGAGGCTTGTTTTGTCCACTCCTCACATTGATCTGGTATTGTAGTACCTCCAGAGTTAGGTGCAACTTCCCCAGGAGCACTGTTAAAGTATTTTGGAGGAGGCACTGACTCAGCCCAGGGGCAGTCCACCTCCTCAGGCTCAGCCAAGGCTAATGAATCAGGTGAGGGAAAAACTGTCACCATATATATTTAATTTCTGGTCAAACTATCTCATTAAGATATACTAATATAAGATATAATCATATGACAAGGGACATGTTTTTCATCTTAGGTCAATCTCCATCCTCTGCTCCATCCACTGTGCCCACTGTCTCCTCTGTGTCTGCTGCAACCTCAGCTCTACCTGGTAAGTTAACAACAAAACAGCCTTTGTAATTGCTCAGTGTACTGCAGAACATTCTGAGATGAATAATTTTTAATATAAGATATAATCATATGAAAAGGGACATGTTTTTAGACAAATGCCTATTTTATCAAAACTTCTCAAGCCATTTTCAGTTGTTCCACTGGCAGATTGTTTTCTTATTACAAGCTATATAGCTGTACTATTTTACTGAGAAAATAAGCAGCGTAATTTTCAAGTGTAATATGACATCAAATATGACTAGCTTTTGTTGTTTTTCATCTTAGGTCCATCTCCATCCTTTGCTCCATCCACTGTCCCCTCTGTGTTGCAGTTTATTTAAAATGCTATTTTAGTGGATGCTTTACTGTCTTCACAATTTATTTATTTTTTATTTTTTTATATACTTTATTAATCCCCCTGAGGGGAAATTCAGTTTTTATTTATTGTTTCTTATCTGAAATACAAGTAAATGCAAGCTTCGTTTCCACTGAGGGAAATGGTTTCAGCTTACAGAAACAGACAGGAGGTCTGCGTCAACCGTGACGCTGAGCGTGAGGGTGGGCGAGTTCAACTTTCTGTCAACAACGGGGGTGTTTTGAAAACACCACCATTTTCACAGGTAACTTAGCCTGTTCCCCTGCTGCAGAAAATAATGGATTAATCCTGGAAAGCTGTTGATGTAGCACTTTTCTCCTTATGAAAGTAACACAGCGATTATTCGACCAATGACAATTTTGTCGTACGAGAGCATAGCGACCAAATAATCGACTAGTCAACCAGGAGACTACAGCCCTAGTATTTTTAAACCCATTACCCTTTACCTTAAGTTATAGCTCCTAACCTAAACTAAATATGGAGTGTCGAGGTTCAGAAATAACGTTACAGTACACTACGTAATTGTTGCTGCTTCTGTGTCTCATTGGTGTCCAAATATTGATGGTGTACGCCTGTGATGTTTTGCTGGATCATATATATATATATATATATATATGTTCAGATTCTAAGAAGCTATAAGTTGCCAATATTAAAAACATATATTTCTGGCTCACAACAGTTGCTGAAGATTTGCTCTAACTATGGTGCAGACTTTGACATCAAATATAATGCCAATAAGAGCAACAATATGATTGTTAACAGTAAAGAAGACAGACAATTAGTATTTCCTGAGTTCTTTTTATCTGGTGTTGCTCTTCAAGTGTGTCGTGAGATTACATATCTTGGCCAGTTGTATGCACGAGCTAATGTGCTTGCTCGCAAATGTATCATGTGTTCAGTTAATCTGAAGGTCGCTCTTTATAGAGCATTTTGCACTCCTTTGTATATTGCCCCCTTGTGGCACTCCTATAAGAAGAGCAATATGCAAGACTTAATGTGGCCTATAACGATGGCATGAGACTACTTCTTAAACTTCCACGATGGTGCAGTGTCAGCCAGATGTTTGTAAATGTTAGTATACCTACTTGCCCTGCCTTTATGTGAAATCTTATATCGATATATTTGCAGGCTCTCTGCCTCAGAAAATAGTATCCAGGCCTTGGCCACCCCTGATCTGAGCTCAGTCAGGTCTTCATCTAAACTGTGGGGCCTCTGGCTCTCCTGCTTGTTTGTGGGTGCAGTTTATTGAATTGTGTCAATTTCTGTGAAATTATATAATGTAGTGTTGGGTAATTCTTGTCTTTGTTTACATATATTGTTTTCATTACATCGAATTCTTGTACATAGGATGATTGTTAGTTTTTGTATGTGGTATACTAGGGACCCTTCTCTGTGTCCTCAAAAGTAATTATTATTATTAACAATAACTATTGAGGACCCTTCTCTGTGTCCTCAATAGTTGTTGTTGTTATTATTATTATTATTATTATTATTGTTGTTGTTGTTCACTGAAGGACAATGTAAAGTATAAGTTCAAAGATGCTCTGATAGCAGTTGAAGTTTCAGACTGGGCACAGTGTCCTGTATTGTTTCCGTCACCAGAGGGAGACACAGCTCAGTTTATCATTGTTGAAGCTTTATATTCAGAAACAGGTGTAATTTGTTAATTTTTAATCATGCACGAGATCCAGTCAATAGAAATAGTTTTAGCCATTGGCTCTCCTGCTTGTTTGTGGGTGCAGTGTATTGAATTGTGTAAATTTCTATGAAATTATATAATGTGGTGTTGGGTAATTCTTGTCTTGTATAATGTAGGGTATGTCTTGTATTGTATTATTTATATTGTATTCTTGTACATAGATGACTGTTTTGTGTGGTATGCTAGGGACTTTCTCTTTCCTTATTAAAGTCATTATTATTATTATTATTATTATTATTACTATTAATAATAGCACAATGTAAAGTGTTTGGCCAAAGATGCTGTGTTTGTCGTTTCAGACTGAGCACAGTGTCCTGTATTGTTTCCGTCACCAGAGGGAGACACAGCTCAGTTTATCATTGTTGAAGCTTTATATTCAGAAGCAGGTGTATATTGTTCACTTTTAACCATACACGCGATCCAGTCAATAGAAATAGTTTTACTTAATCTCAATCGTATATTTTAAGTGAGTAAATGACCAGTTCTTCCTTAATTAGAGCTATAAAGTGGATTTTAACATACCCGTTCGTACTGATGGCTGATTGGGCAGTAGCACATCACGTGACCAGAAATAGCATGAACCCACACTAACTCCCGTAACGTTTTGTAATAAAAGTCTGCGATCGGATGCATTTTTCCGTTGCCCATCAGTCATAAGACATCAAACTGCGCTTTCACAATTTGTTGGTGTGTTTTTGTAGCCATAGAAATCATATTGAACCGCGAGTTAGTGTCACAATGAGGAGAAGGAGTCTCCCACTTGACTCGTTAATCAGCATCGCTTCTCGGCCTTTTGGCTAAGATCAAGTGTAGTATCTGTTCTTATCAGTTTAATATCTGATACGTCCCCTACCCGGGGACCATATATTAAATTGATTTTTGGAACAGGGAGATGGAATAGGGGCTTGCTCCGTCCACTCCACGCATCGACCTGGTATTGCAGTACTTCCAGGAACGGTGCACCCCCC